TTTATTACGCATCATTGAGGGAAAAAATGTCATTTAATTAATTCTCCGTAAAATTTTACTTGAAATTAAGGTTAAAAATAGCTGTGGCAATACAGTGTAACAAAAATCCATAGACCACATTTGGCGTTATTATCGCTCAAAAAAAAAGATGCCAAATTTCAAAACGCGAAAATATGTAAATTTGTGTATATCTTAGAAAATTTTGAATAAAATGTCTAATTTTTTTGCAGATATGCTTAAAAATATACCTACTTTAAGATGATGGTAAAAATTTTATAGGTTATAATTCAAAATTTTTTTCGAAAAATTATTTAAAAATAGAAATTTAAAAAATAAAACACAAAAAATGGGTAAATTTTATTTGGAATGAACCTAAATTTCGAAATGTGAGAGAAAAAATCAAAAAAGTTTAATAAAAAAAGAGATATAAATAATATTTGCCAAATTCAATTAACATTGAGGAGCTAAAATTTTGAGAGCTAATATTTCAAAAACTACTCATATGATTTTTACAAAACTTGGTATTTTGGCATAATTTGAGTCGTAGAATCGAAATATGTAAAAAAAATTGGTATGTTATTTCAGAAAAAGTCCGATTTTGTGTCAAAATACCTATGTTAGAATAGTGCTATATATAAATCTAATATATATCCTAAGTGGCGCTTTCGAGACATGAAGAACGCAATTTGAATTTCGTGAATCGCCCCAGTAAAACGGAAGCACTGTCCCATTTTTTTTTTTTTTTTTTTTGAGCAGTGTACCTATACCACCAATGTACCTATGTATGAAACTTTTCATTAATTGTATACTGAAGCATATATATGCACACGCCCTTGTTTGGCCACGTCAATACCACATATTCTCCATTAATATATTTCCGATGCAGCCCTTTCAGGAAGTCGCCAGGGTAGTGTTGTTCTAAATAGGTGCGGGTACCGGACGACACCCGATTTGTCATATTAAGCCGTCCGGGTGTCCGGGCCGCGTAATGGCAGACCGCACATTGAGTTGAACAGTGTTAAACGAATGTCGCATACTGCGCATGCCCAGAAAACAATTTGGCGTAATTACTGTGTTGGCGCGATTTGAAAAGAAGATAAATACGGTATACGGTAGATGTACCGCCATCTGATTGTAAACAAATCTGGCGTTTAAATCTTCGTAGAGTATAATGTAAATGTAAATTAATTACTGTGTTAAAATACTATTTTTTGCTGTACTGCTCAAACAACTAGAAAGCTGAAATTATTGCGAAGTAATGTGAAGCAGTGTTTGCATTCAAAATGTAAATATAATACCTATGAAATTCTGCACATTCCTTTGGAACTGTACAAATTTTCGTTCAGAAAAAGACTGAAATTTAGGATATATTAGTTGAAAATTTATTCATTATACTTTTAAGCAATAAAAACAATTGAGGATTTACCATACGCTCCACTCGTACATACATAAAGAAACAGTGAGGAATATAACAAGTGCTTGCAAATAACACTGAAGAAATTTTACAATTCCTTAATGCTAGTTATTAAATTCTTTGAAATGAGAAAATAAAAGCGCGAATATACGCTAACAAACTAAGCAAGATACTCCAGTTTATAATTACTGAATTATAACATGTAAACAAATTACATTTAAATAACGAATTATTACGAACATATGTTAACAAATATTAAATGCACTGTTATTGACAAATTACAATGAAATATATATTAGAAAAATAAGCAAGCGCAATCGGTATGGACGTTAAAATAACTAATAAGCTAAGTTACACAACATTACAGTTGTAAACATCATTCGAACACACGCGATAGCCGATCACGAATAAGCTAGCATAGGGTTGCTTAGTCGCCAATATTTCTCCCCCGCGCCAAAGGTACACCATCAAGCATGCGCAGTAAGCGAAATTTGCTTAACATTATTCAACTCAATGTGCGGTCTGCCATTACGCGTCCGGGCCCTGCATTCACCTGTCACCTGTGGTCAGACGCTTTCACAAAGGGGTCCTGAACGCTGCCTCCCATTGAAAGTTCGCCACCATTTACAGTGGTGCAGAGAGCACAAAAACTGGACAACTGATCAGTGGAGTCGTGTCCTCTTTATGGATGACATTCGGTTCAGTACCAGAAGCGATTCTCAACGCGTTTTGATTTGGAGATAGGTCGGAACCCGGTTTTATCCCAGTAACATCAAGGAAAGACACCGTAACGGTGGTCCTGGAGTTCTTGTCTGGGGAGGCATGCTGAACGGGCGAACTGAGCTCCACGTTTTCGACAGAGGGTCTGTAACCGGGGATCGCTATTGTGAGGAGGTACTCCTTCCCCATGTGCATTTGTTCCGAGGTGCCATTAGCCTTAATTTTTATAGATGACAGTGCACGGCCAAATCGGACTCTTGCTGTTGAGGAGCTACTGGAAAGTGAAGTATCACTCGAATGGATTGACCAGCATACTCCCCAGATTTAAATCTGCACCCAGCTTCCTTTAAAAGCAGCACGCTTACATCCTCCGGAGAACAACCAACAACTCAAACAGATGCTGATTGAGGAATGAGCACTCCTACCGAAAGAAATGTTGCACCAGCTGGTTCTTAGTATGCGGAGACGGTGCGAAGCAACCATTGCAGTGAGGGGAGGGCATATCCCATATTAAGGAACATCTGCTTGTTGTTCTTCCTCTTGGATAGACCATCATGAGTCACGATACTATGCGTTCAATAAAGCTTGTTTTTGTTTGATTCCATACTGTATGCATTGTATTCCTTTTTCAGCTTCGATGCTTTCGTCATCCTTTACGTACATAATACTCTCCTTCATTTCTGCATTTCATGTCTCTCAGTTGATTTCTCGTGGAGTTATGGCAAAAAACCCTGCTGTTACTTAAGTTTTGCACACCAGTGTATTTTTAGCACGATTTCGGCGCCGTTTAATTAATGTGAAGAGTACTTTTTTAAATGTTTAACCTGATAGCCTTTTTTCTCGACTATAAGTCTGCATCATTATTTCTGTGACAGAAAGGATTTTCATAAAATTTCTAGAAGTATTAATTTCCATTCCTATTCCACTACTTTTCAGAGTCCATCAATCGTGGTGGATTTGTGTTTTGAAAAAGCTCTTTTCAAGAGACCGAACGCACAATAGTCCATAGGCGAAACGTTCGAGGATTTTGCAGGAATACGTTGAAAATCTGTATATGCAATACCTGTATCAGTCTTCATTTTTTCATGAATGCAGTAATACCTTTCAAAATATGACTTGTTACGCAGTCTTGATAAAGATTCATTCTATGAAAATAATTACAAAAAAGAAAAGGAATTTCTTCTGTAAATATCGGACGTAAAACTTCCTCTTGATAGTACCTTGAGATAATTTAATATTTTCTCACCATTCTTCTTATTTTCAGTTCCCATTGTAACAGAATTATGCAACAATCATAAAAACCTTACTAAAATTTTTGCATTGATGGAACCAGGTTTGTACATTATTTTTCTCATAATTTTCGATAATAAATAGACTTTTTTGGTTGCAGTCATTTAGGCAAACTAATGCTTAATCAAGGTTTGCAATTTATTTCCTGCTAAATAGTTTTCATACGGAGTTTAATAAATTGTTCTGCGTTGAGCCAGATGACGTGGCAAAAACAAATGAACATTACGTTTTTTTAGCTTTTTTAAATTGTAAATTCTTGTCTTATTATTTTACCTACTGTTGCTGCAAAAATATTTTTAAATAAAGAAATTAACATTTTGCAACTGATTTCTGTGTCAGCCTATTTTCTCTTGTTACTAACGGTTTAACCTTAGGAACATTAGAAAATTTGGTTATTCGTTTGCAGTCTTCTTTTATGTAGAAGCAATGTTTGACAGTTTTTCTTTTTCTGATTAATAACGTTGCTTATTTTGTACTTAAGAATTTTTAATACCATGCACTTCGCACTATTTTTGAATTACTGAACACGTATATTTCTCTTCGGAAAGTGTAAAAACATATCCTTCAATGCGCAATTTGTTTATATGCGACATTCTAAGAGAAGAATAAATTTAAAAGCTGCACACGACCTTTCTTATTGCCAGAAATTTTTATTCAAAAACACTGCTTCTCTTTAATATTTTATCGAAATCGTTCTAAAAATGTGTAAACATGCTCTGCAATTCAGAAATTCCAAAAAAATCTCATTAGGCTTGTAAAATTAGTATTAGTCATATTATCTCTTGTTTAAATTATCTGGGAGACTAAATAAATACTTTCAAATTACAAATAGTGTTAGGCAAGATGATGCTCTTTCATTCAATCTGGCTTTACAGTGAGTAATTCTAAGATTCTGGCATTAATACTAGAGCAACAATATTAAAAAATATCTCAAATCCTTGCTGCCTATGCTGATGTTATTTTTATAACAGCACAGACAAATGAAGCTAGAGAGGTTTTGTTTGTTTGTTTTTTATTCCTTTGGAGAAAGCAGCAGTTAAAATGCACTTTAACATCAATGAAAACAAAAAGAAATATATGCCAATTACGAAAAAAAAGCAAATCTCAGTTTCTTGTACTTTACAATATAGCTATGAGTAACTTGTAGCTATATTGTAAAGTACAAGAAACTCATTTAGTTGTTTTTTAAAGGAAATTCTCAAGAAACATCTTTGGTGCTGAACAGTGATGGCTTGTTATGATTTATATATAACAATAAATTATATAAAGAAAGTGGTACTGTCAAAAACATTAAAATTAACCGCATGAAATCTGCTGATCACAATTGCCAAATGAATTCTTCTTTAAAATTTCACATGGTAAACTAATGAGAAAACAAGTTACAGGATACCCAGGCTCCAGTTATTGGACTATATTAATAGTGATTTTAACATTATTAAAACTACCAATTAGGAGAAACTGGTCAAATGGAGAATGGCTTAGAATAAGCTTCCAATGAAGATCATAGCTCCTGTTAGGGCTGTCATGCTAATAGGAGAAAAAAGAAGAATCAGTAAAAAACGAAACATTCACAACATTCCCCAAAAATCATTTTTTATTCAGTAACAAAAATAATTTGTTTATGTACAATAGATTTCTTTATAAAAAATAATACAATCAAAAAACAAAATTGAGAAACATTATGTCCCAATGATTTCTAAATAACCCTCAAACGTTATCTAATTTCTAAATTCTATGATCTATCAGATAAAACCAAAAATAATGCATTCTGTTGTAACAAACATACGGTAGCATTCTAAGAGCTATCTGTAAATTTTTTGACCAACTGACTTATTTCGTGGGCAACCACATCAGCATGTTCCTGCAAAGAAAACAATTAGAAACATAAATTATTGTTTTAAATGAATAACAGTAAACAGTTTTAAAGAATATAAAATTACTAGATATTTACACATATGAAGACTTAAATTTCTTACAGCAGCTACTGCTCTAATAAAGCCATTGCAATTATATTAAATTAGTCCTCAGATACTTTAAAATTACAGAAAATTAATTCTGCCTTAGATCTGAATTAATTTTATAAAATGTTGTATACTTTTCATGGGAATTTGACAATGGTTGAATGAGCAAACATATTTCACATCATTTTAATGGAAAATAACATTTATGCATACTAAATTGTTTGAATTTGTATTCCTCCCATTCGTGACTGCGCTGAGCAGAAAAAGTGAACTCTATAATTGCACAGCAGAATCCTTCCGATGGACAGGATGAGTGAGAGGTATCCTCGCGGCTCTGATGGTGCTGAAGACTGCTGTTCCTGCTATGCCTATCCGAGGTGTTTGTTGACGTGGCCAATAGCCATTATTCTCTCAAGCGTGCTGCAACAATGTGGTGCATAGAGTCCTAACATGAAACAGAGCAGTGGAACACTATATTGTAATAAGAATCTAGCCAATTACCTGCCTGTCTGAATGAACTTTAAAGCAGGCTCAAATCATGTTGTACCAGTCAAGTACATTCGTATGTTATCCATCGTATGATTTCACTAATGTGTCATAGACCGAAATAGTATGTTCATCTATTTTGTTAAACTTAAAGAAAGTCATCGATTAAATCTTATGTTTTCAACTTAGTGCAATTTGTACTTAACCTCGATACATGTACTAATGCGTTTAACTCTTTTTAAAGAACAAAAATTTCAAAAACAACATATAATAATGAAAATAAGCAAGTAAAAAAAAAAGGTTTCAGATTTTACATTATGTCCACAGGAGTGTTTTTTAACATTTTGTGTCTTACATTTATTTATTAAATATTACGTTCTTCGCACTTAAATCATAAAATTCAGTTCAACAGCAATATCGCAAAATAGTTTTAAAATGAGCATACCTTTAGAATTTCTGATACAGAGACTTGCACATTGGAGATAAAAATGTTTTTTCTGTACCAAGTTGCCATTGCTCGCTTTAAAATCCTTGAGTTTGTTAATCAAAACTACGTTAAAGTTTTATAAAATAGGAAATCGATAATAAAACAAATTTCAAATTTGGGCTTCTGCATACACATATTCATAGAAGGATTACGTCATTCAAAATTCAATGGCTCTACGTACTGTTGTTTTATCACAATGCGAGAAATATACATACATTTATTCAGATTTTTCATTATTTAATTTCTTCAAACATAATGCAGGACTAACATTTGGTGGCAACAGTTTGAAAAGTGAAACGGACATTTATAGTGAACCAATGCAAAATTGCAAAACGAAAACAATAGTCCTAGAGGGATAAAGCCCCTTTGGACTAATAATGAAAGATGCAACTACTATAGGTATATCTAATACATAAATGAAGAGGAAAATGTTTGAAAAATATGAAATAGTACTTTTAAATACTTTTGGAAGAACATGACTAACATTAAAATAGTTAAGTACAAAAAATATCAATAAATATGAAATATTACAAGTAAATCTAATTCATCAACTGGATTAAAATAATCCAAATATTAAGGTAGATAAATGGCATGTGAATACAGTACAAAGTCTTTAATCCGGACGTCCATAATCCGGAATGATCTATAATCCGGACCTCAAAGCTACAAACTTTCCGCGCATGCGTAAACGCATATATCTTTACACATGTGCGTTTAAAGCATAATGGACGGTATAAGCTGGGCTAAAATTATCTAATTATATATTTTAGTTAATGTTAAGATTGCATTGTTCCTGAATCTTCTAATTGGATCTAGCTTATTATTTTTTTCAGAATGTTAGAGCAATTTTATAAAAAGTAAGCTTGAACTTTCAATTATGTCAAAAAGAGTTTCCGATACTGGAGCTGCCAAAAGATCTACAAAGCGAAAGCATGTTTCAATGTCTATCAAACAAAAAGTGGACTTGCTGCAAAAAAATGGATAAAAGCATATCCTTTGTTTCTCTAACCATTCCAAAATCTGCTTATCAATGTCATGCTGCTCTGCGGGGAGGGGAAACGTCATGGCGCAGAATGAACTGGAAGTTGATCTATCAGCACTATCCTTATCTTCAGGGCAGATGTTTTTATTTTATTCGGCTTGTAATTCCTTACTTAATGTAGTATCTCTCTTGTCTTTGATATGATTTAAATCAAATCCCTCGTCATGATAAATATCACAAAATACACGTCAAATAGTTTTCTGGTTGCAATTTTAATTTCGACTATGCGTAATGTATGCTTTATATTTATAATGTATGCTTTACGTATGCACGTGTTGAAAGAAATGTTTAATACAGTAAACAAATAAATATTAAGCTTTTTTTGTAAATTTTGATACCCTTTAGATCATAATTGCTCTTTATTTCATAAATTATGGTTTCATATTTTTAATTTATAATTTCTGCATGCCATCTTACCAGATTTAAATTGATGATCTATACTCCGGAAAAAACCCTAATCCGTAATTGCTGAAGTCCCAATGAGTTCGGATTAAAGACTTTGTACTGTATACTCATAAATTATACAACCAAAAGTTGCTTTTGTGAACCAGTAGATTGCTTGCATTTATATTTCTGCTGCTTAAAGATGACTAATGCAGACATATGCTTTAGAGGAAAGTGAAGGCTTCTTAGCATATTTATTCACTTTGAGACATAACATGGATACATCACAGCTAGGCTAACCATTACTTTCATTTTTAATTGAACAATAGTGGTTTATTGCTATACTGTAGTATCTTAGCAAAAATCCTAATTTTCACCCCTTTTTTCAAATACTTTTTAAAAATATTTAAAAATTAACCATTTATAATCTACAAACAAGTCAGTGTTATGGACACTAATAAATCCTATGAAGATGTGCTGAATAAACTTAATAAGAATACAAAAATATCACATTGGCAGCACCTGCAAGTCTTAAACATTGTGTAGAATATGTAACATTTATGCTGTTTTGTACAACTGCGAGCTGCATCATACCAGGTTCGTACACTTTTCTGCATGTGGAAATTAAATACTTTTAAGGACTTAAAGGAACACCAAAGAAAAAATTAAGGACTTATAAGCTTAATGATGAAGTGACATTGTAGTTGATTGAATTTCTTTTCTATTATCTTTGTTTTTCTTTAATTTTTTGAATTGGAGTATTGCTTGTTTGAAAAGTTTTGGTTTTAACATTTTTAAAATTCTTTAAAGTATTTATAGGATTATTTGAAATTTATTAATTATGAATTTCAATTTTTGGTATTTGTGAAAAATTAGTTCTAAATTTCTTACTTTATGTCTTTACTGATATATACTGTACACACACACACACAAACACACATATGTATTTCTCATGAAATCCGTTCATCTGTCCTGTTTCTATCTGATGGAATTAAGATGAGTATAATCACAGCATCAAATTTCCTGAAGATTCCTACTGCAATAGCAATTCCAATGGAATACTAAGCAGGCTTGCACAAAAATATAAAGTTATTTAAAATATTTTCATAGATCTATGTTATTGAAGCTATGCAAAGTTGAAAAAATATAGTACTACTAAACAAAAAATTAAATTTTAATGGAACCAGTAAATCATTTCACTAATAATCTCAAAAATCACTGCAAAATTATTAATTAAAATAGAAATTATTGATTAAAATATGCTCAATAAATTAAATAACTGAATTAAAAGTTTAGGCATGTAAAAACTTATGATGTAAGTTTAAAAATTTCCCTAAATAATAATTGTTTTGAAAATAAATTTATTTCTTTTTAAATTAAAAGTTTAAATAACTTGATGTCAGTTAATCTACTAAGGTAAAACAAGTAGCAATTATCTATGCTGCGGAAGCGTTTAGTCATGGAGGTCTTCTAAAGAAAATATGCTGATAAGTATTTAAAAAAGACAAAAATGCATGAGAACTTATGTAGATTGCATAAAAAACTAATTGACACTAAGGGTATTTGGCAACTTTATCCATGCTGTAACATACAAAATCTGGCATAAAATGCAAGAATGTCAGCTATTGAAAGGTTATAATACAAGTATTAATGGAAAAACAAAGTTCTCATAAATTTGAAATCTTACTTTATCTTCTCAGCTATTGATGCAAATGATAACATGTTGAATTTTTTATTTACTTATTCATAATACAAATAATAACTATTTTTAACAATTATACATATGTTCAACTTTCATTAGTACTGCATGCACCTCTGCTCTAATCAGTGTTCAATTTCTCTCATACTATTCAATTCTCATTGCTACAAGAAGATAAATTCTTGGTTTACAATGAGCAGCTAGTAGATGCAGTCATAATGAATATAGAACTAAGTATATTGTTATTCAAAAATTACTGCTGAGCTAAATTCCACCTATAATTCTGCATAACTCACAGATGACAAATAACTAATGCCAGTAAATTTAACTTACCTGAGTGTCTGCTTCAGCATACACTCTAACAATATCCTCAGTACCAGAAGGTCTATAAAAATAAATATATTTTGCATTGAAACATTGCTAAGTATTTTATATATTTACCCAATTCATTTTAATAATATAGTAACTTAAAATACTAAAGTTTTATTTGAATTTATTAACATGTGCATTTTATCAAATAGATTATTTGTCACTGATTTACTTAAAAAGTGGAAAAATCAAATAGTGGCCATGGAACTTAATAAGGAGAAATCACTAGAATATATGACTAAGAAATTTACAGAATTTAAGATGGTTTATTAAAAATACTATCAATTGATTCAATAATGATATCATCCAAATGCTAATAATTATACAAATAAAGGTTGAATTTAATACTACATTCACAAATTTCCAGCATTTAAATGCATGAATAGTTTTTTAAATGTTAATTTATTGTTTCAAAATTATCGGTTGGGTACATTAAAAAATGGCATCAATTAAATATATTATTTAAAAAAAGGAAATACATATATTAAGAAATATTGATACTGCTTTTCAATCACTCAATTTATTAAGGAATTACATTTAAAATTTTGAAGATAATTAAAAAATCTTATGCTCTATCAGCAGCAACATTTTGGGAACTCGATATCTGCTAAACCACACTGAAAGTAAATAAAGACCTTGTGCAATGACAACACTTGCTAGGTTGTGTAAATGATAAATACCATCCTATATAACTTAACAAAAAAAATTGTATTGGACACTCCACTGAAGATGTTTCTAACGTCAAAATGTTTAAATAACAAGACATATGTAACGAGAGATCTTCAAAACCACTAATTCAAATGATTATTCGAGACAATACTAAATATACTTTGGAATCACTGTATTGTTTTTCCAATTTATCCCACAATTAAAAGTTTTAAAGTTTTTATACATGATTTTTTTTTGGATGCATTTTTGTATTATAAACATTCCTGCAAGGGGGGAAAAAAAAAAAAAAAAACTTATTTAAAAAATGTATAAATCATTCTTTTGGATAATTTTCTAAAATACTAGTATTAATAGTGCATACTCCATTTCTTGTCTATAATCCCTTAATATTTATCATTCTCTTACATACAATCCCTTAACACTTACCAATGATAAAATTCAGGTATACTAAATTGTATTCCACGTATATTTTGTCATATCTAGATATGGTAACAAGAGCCTTCTTGTCATGGAGAAAAATCTGAAGAAATGCTTTACAAATTGTAATTTAGTGAATATGGGCCTTAAAAGTAATGAAAATTTGTGCCAAAACAGCCTTCCCTTATAAGGTATTTCTCCCGCCTTCTTAACCTGCCTTCGTGATGTAGTAGTCTGCACGCTGGGCGCCTATTCCAGAAGTCCGTGGATCAATTCCCAGCAAAGGCATTGTATATTTTTCATCTTTCCTGCTTCCAAAATACCTAATGTCTCTACAGTGGCACCGAACTAAAAGGGTGGTAGATGATAATTCTTCACACCCAGGATTTGGCAATTGGAGCCCCTAAAAACCCCAGTCACCTTTTAAAAGGGGGCATATATAAGGTATTTCTCCCACCGTCTTAGCATGGTGTAGTGGTCTGCACGCTGGGCACGTATTCCAGAGGTACGCGGTTAAATTCCTGGCGAAGGCGTTGCTCATTTTTCATCACTCCTGCTCCGAAATAACCTAATACACCCTCATTTAAGTTATTTATGACATGAATGGAACAAATTATTCTCAAAGAATATTATGCAGTACCACTGATATATGTAGATTATTAGGAGAATCCTAAAAAGTGCCATTTGGAAATAAATTTATATCACAGAAAAAGACAACTAATATCTTACACTGTTCCTTATATTGGCATATGGAATCATAAAGTGCTTTCAGATGCATAGTCATCCAATAACTTTAATTTCTAAAATAAAAATGTATTTACTAATGCTGTATCATTGCTGCTTATTGAGTTAGGAACAATTCATAAATATATGATCATTAAATCAATCATTTCTACCTAGCCACTTTTAACAAATATTGCAGTTAAAACAATGCAACAACACATGAAAACTTGACATGTTGTTTGATATTTCCAAATATTATTGACATATTTCCAAATATTAGGTTTAAAAATTAACCAAGCATAATTATAATATTACAAGAATGTAGAGAGAAAATGTCTTAGAATATAAAAAATGGAGGAAGCTAGTTTCTCATTAAAAAAAAATTCCTTCAGAAAAAAAAAAAAAAAAAAAAAAAAAAAAAAAATGCTTTCTAAACAGCAGAAAGCTCTTTGCATAATATCTCTTGCACAATGCCAACAGGATCTCATTTGGACACAGTGAACCAGATAATTTAGATTTGAACCTTATTTAACTCTCTCTAGATCTCTCGATACTATACCCTTTGATTTCCTCTTTTAGAGGTAAAAGAGCACATGTTTGTTCCATCTCAGTCAAAAAGCTTAAAATATCATTTCTGTTGCAATGGAAATAGTTGCCATAGGTTCACTAGGAAAATATTTGGCAGAAATTTTCATATCACCTTGGCATTACATGGATAACTAAAAGAAAGCATTTGTAAATAAAATTAAGGCATTTTTGACTTCGATTCATGCATTGTTTATTATTTATTATATATTGTTAATTTTTTAAATTATAACAAGTGGAAATAAGATGATTTTTTTAATTACCCAGTATAACAGAATAACAGTGAAAATTTTATATTCTATTTTCAAATAATAATTTATGCATTCAGTTTCAAATTTTCAAACAACAGCTATTATATTAGATCAGAAACAGCAGCTTCCATACATTTTAAAATTTGAAAAAATTCCTGAAAATTATAAAATTTTGTTCATAAACTGAACTTAGATCAAAATGCTGTAATTAAAAACTAAAAGAAAGAGAAAAAAAGGGAAAAGAAGACGTACAAACTAACATGCAAGACAACTTCTCTAATTTTTTAGGATAAAGCCTAAAAATATTTTTTGTTTAATGAGTTTTTAATGCTAATTTTTAAATAATTTTCAAATTTACTAAAGAAAAGAGGTGCCACAAACTGAATTTGAAAATATTTTTACTTTAATTAAAATTCCATTTCACTCATAAGCAATAACTTTTTTCAGTATAAATTATAAAAAATAATTAAATATTAAGAGTTCTATTAAATTTTAAAAGAATTTTCTAATTTAGGAAAGATAATGATAAATGACATGTTCATATACTACAGTTTATTACCGCTCTAAAATCTTAATCTGTATCTCTAAAAAATTGTGTTAATTAAAATTAGTTAATTTCTCTAAAAATTACCATGATAAATTAGGTACATGCAATATATATATATATATATATACCAAACAGACAGCAATGTAGCTAGGCCAAAACTTAGAATGCAAGTGCGTCAATGCCAATGGATTAAAAATTATGGAGTGCCTATGGTTCAAAACCATGTATCTCCTCATCAGAATTACGTAAAAGCGAGCAGAAATAGGAAATTTGCATAAATAGTAAACTTGCTGCTCACTTGAGGGAGCCACACGGCTCGAGAAAAGTTAGGGATACCAAGAATTTATAAAACTTAGGAATACATAATTTTTTTGTAAGATTTTAAATCATTTTTTGAATTTTGAATTTTTATAATTTTTTTGTATTTTATATATAGATTATATATATATTATATATATATATATATATATTATTACACGATACAACACAAAAGCATAAAGTGGAGAGGAAAGACTTTACAATTAATAGGCTCATTGGCATGTGGTATTAAATGGGAGTGCAAATAATAAAGTTATCGCGAGAAAATATTCAAGGCAGAATTAAGTTCTGTGGGAGATGTGATTCTACAGTGAACAGAATGATAACTTTGCATAATGACCACTTCTCAGGTTTCAGGAAAGGATGACGGTAAAGCTTGGAAAAATAAGTAACTATATGGCAGCTCGCTGAGGGGACGTCCTTCCTTCATGGCACAGCGTCTAGAACTGGTGTTAGATTCCAAGTTCCTCTCTAAGCCGTGATTAGCATGCAGTAATTACATGCTGTGTTGGTGTTAGAGGGGTGTGTCTACGCCTTTTAGGTGGTGGGTAAATGTCGTAGTCCCGACGAATGATGGCTCTTGGTTTCTTTTGTGAGCTGCCAATCGTGGCTGGGTTGTACTCTCGTAGTTGCTGCAATGCTCAGTTATCAGTCTGTTCAATTTTGAGGAATAAATTTTGACTAAGTTTTTTAATAACATAATCCACAGATTTAATGTTTAAGTCCAAATGAATCACATCTGTACGGACGTACCAGGCTGCGTTCAGGGCTATACATAGCGTTTTACTCTGAAAGGATTGAAGTTTTTTCACATGAGTTTTTGCAACCGTAATCCAAATAGTATAAGCATACAAAAATATGGGGCTTATAACAGAGGTATAGAGAAGGATTCAGTTTTTAATTAGATGATGCTTTCAAGCGAAAAGGGGATAAAGTTGGGATCTGGCAGCCTTCGCTTTATTCAAAGTAAGCAAGTGCGTAATGTTCAGGATGAAATCTCATACTTGCCAACCTATGACACTCAAAAATCAGGAGATTTTTTAAGAAATCAGGAGATTTTTCACAATGTTAAAAAGATTTTTTAAATGATAAAAATATAGTTTTTAATAATGAATTAACTTTAAATAGTTACTAAGTCTTAAATGCAAGCAAACAAAAATACCTTAGACATAAAAAACCTTTTTATTACTTTCAACGTTTAAAAAAAAAAAAAAAAAAAAAAAAAAAAAAAAAAAGGCACTAATCAGTTTTCTACAAAGTTATGGACAGTGGCAGATTTTGCTCTCGTTAAGAAAGAAACTTCATAATTTGTTCATAGCAATTGCCACGTAAACCTGCTTTCGCTATAAAAGTTTTTCTAATGTGTCATCACTAATATTAGATCTAAATTTAGTCCCTCGTTTTCGCAACAACACTGAAAATCCTCTCACCTCTGCATTACTATGGGGAACTGTCAAGATGGCCAACATAATTCTAGAGAGTTCACTATATTTTAAAATTCCATCA